ATCAAAGTTTAACATAAGTGTATGGGAAACCCAAAGTATGTGTCGGATCAAAAAGTAAAATAGGAGGTGCACAATGTCAATATGTAATAAAGATTCTGTGAAAGTTTCATCAAATTTCATTCAGTGGTATAAGAGGATTTGCGGATAAGAGATGGGTACCCCAAAGCGTAACAGACGGACGGACGGACAGAATTAACAAATACTATATACCCTCCCGTTTTTAAAGGGAGGGAGGTATAATAATATACGCATTATATTTTGATCTCGTCTGTGAACAAACCTGAGTTCGATGTTTACGAAAGCTGTGAGGTGGGTCCTGTCACAGTTTCTTTTGATATTCATAAAAATCAAAGGACCCCACTTTCAAAGCACATTTTGTTGTGTTGTCTCTTGCAATTATTTTATATTTTTAAAAGTTCGTGCAAATACTACAGACATACAAGTATAATAAAATTTACCTTTTAAGTGTCTTAATGAAAGACTAATTTTTGACGAATATCCGGGGACCACAGTTAATGCCTTATTGAAACTCAGTGGTATACATGTATCACATTTTAATACACATTGATAACATTGCAGTGGTAAGTGTTATTGTCATACTTACGAATTATGTGTTACATTATGTTATGAATTGCAATGTTATTTTTAATAGTGTTTTCAATAGCATGCGCAATTTTTCAATAACTGTGGAGGCATTTCAGGGACCTGGCACCAAGAAAAAAGAGACATCACAAAGCTTACCAAGGAGTTGTGAGAATGATCATGGACTTAAAGTAGAAAAAAAATTACTGCAGAATTCTGTGTCCACAAATACAAAATTGTTTCATTACTTCTTTAATTAGAAACAAATGTTGCCACCATTTTCTATGTCACATATTACAGTAAGTAACATTATTGACATGTTCATGCTCTTCATATTCAGCACATAGGTCATACAATGTATGTTGCTGCAGGTCATACAATGTATGTTGCTGCAGGTCATACAATGTATGTTGCTCAGCCATCAGTATTCAGCGTACTCAAGTTAAAAAAATTCCAGAATAAGTCACAAGTTCAGGTTCATTTCTTCACTCAATATCCTTTAAAAATATGGTAAATGAGGATAGTGTAAAATATTACAGCATATAAAATAAGGTCAGAAGTACAGGTAGCAAAGTATTGCTGACAATGCAGAACATTCAAGTATAAAAAGGAATTTGCTGGCCACATGTTACGGTTTTTTTTTTTACTTTTTCAACCACATTATTATAAAACATTGTGCAAGTTGTTCCCACATTAATAACATATAATTACATATGAATCAAACCTTTCTAATACTTCATTAATATTAATTAATGTTTTTGTTTTGTTCTTTTTATTACGCATGATTTGTAGAAAACTATGTTTTAACACGCAGAAATGATGATCATTGCAGTTATAATTCAGATTGCAGACACCAAAACTGAACCTGACCAAGGTACATGTATAATGCTTTTGAATATTAATTGTGTTCAACAGGGTAAGTAACTAAGTAAGGATTCAATGTTGTACAGAAATATATAAATACATGCACTGTCACGTGCATGTCTAAGTATTCGTCTCTTGTGGATAAAAATCAAACGACCATTGATGTGTCATTCTGGTAAAAAGCTATTATCCAGTATCAGTTTTTTATTATGAAAAAAAGAAAAGAAATAGGGATAGGGGAAAATTTTAAACACATTCCTTTAGAATAGGGGCTGCCAATGCTTATATGAATTGGGTTGTTCTTTAAACATAATGGGAGGGGGTCAGGTAGATGAAAATCTCAAGAGTACAAGTGGTACATTCAGGCCAGGGTCCACTTGCTAAACTTTCCTAAATCCTTGATTAGTTTGCAAGTCAAAAACAGTGATATTTGTTTGTTAATTGTTCTTCTTTTAACTATATACTCGTATAGATTACTGGCTTTCATAAAAAGAAATGTTTTTGATGAAGAGTATATAAATGCCACCACATTGCACTCTCACAGTATTCACTGTGGAGGTAATGATCCAGATAGAATTAGTGGGGGGAATAAAACTCAGTATAAACTTAATCAAAATAAAAAATAAAATCCTAAGTACATGTAAAAAATTTCCCGAACTCAAATTTGAATGGTCACAGGTTCTTTTTGTTTAGAAAGGAATGCTAAATTTAATCAAGCAATGCCAATAGAGAGATCTTGTGTTTGCTTTAATAGAGATGTTGCTTAACATGACCTTGGTTTTGTGTTTGCCAGAAATTATACAGGATTTATCCTCATTTTGGTTCTAGATGGGGTTCACCTTTCACCTTTATGGACGAGGGGGTACAATTCCGGATAAAATTAGAGTCGTTCCATCTGAAAGGAAATAAGTAGGGAAGTCCAGTATTGTCTTGGGTCAGTTGACTTGGTGCTCCCTTGACGAGTGACTTCAAACGTTTACTCGTTTTCAGCCGTTTGGCGTATGCCCACACCAAATTCAACTGATATGTTAACTAAGTACTATTAATGGTAAATAATTGTTGACACTGATCAAGTGAAAATGTTGCGCTGATGAGAACTGCATTGCTGTGTGACTGGGTTTGATAAATTGGAGAAAAAATGCATTTTGTATAGGATAATTATTGCAGATTGTGTATGTAAACAGGGACCTATATACGTAATATAAACTATTAGGTCCCTGGTGTAAATAAGATAAGATTATTTTTGTAACCGTCCGTGGATAACCCAGGGTGGTCAATTTGTTTATAATTGCTGAATTTGATTGATGATTGTTGATTGATTTGTTGTTGATGCCGAAGTACGTCTGCCAATGTTGTGTTGATTTGTGCGGAGACCCATGAATAATGCCACAACAATACTCACCACATACAAATAATAATAATTAACTTTGAGTGTTGTTAAATTTTCTCTTATATATAAATAATTCTGTAAACATTCATGATTCATTTTTCCTGCAAGAACATGATTTATTATAGTGTATTTAAAAAGAAATGACTAAGCAACTAATTTTTGATTTTTTTTTTCAACTGGTTTATAGCAACGATAAAGAGAGGACGGACAATAAACCTTTATTGACGCTGGCCATTACATTGAACAAGTATATCAATCTTTAAACACAGACTATAAAATCGAAATTTTAATTTAATCTATTTTGGTAGTTTTACATGTATATAAATGCAAAATACACTAGATAGAATAAAGAAAGGTAATCATTTAAACCCGTTTTGACTAACAATTTAAAATTTAAAAATATTATACATGTTATACATGTATTACAAGGAAGCCCATCTCCTTGCGAATTCACGGAAAAAAAATCAAAAGGCAACACCCCTTGGAAAGGCATGTCTAGACAACTTGAGACTTCTGATAACCTTGTATTAATTTTGAAACTTGCTCAAATATGATTGTAGGTCGTAATATTGCTATCAAACATGTATTATCTTATCTGTGAATATTGATTTGCTTGTCAAAGTACGTGCTTTATATTAATACCTTGTAAGCATTACGTCATTAGCGTAAGCTGATAAAGCAACCTCCGGAGGATATGATCATATTAAGTTTCTTTTTTTCATACAGTTCTTAAAAACATGTATATCCCCGTGGGGATCCGGGTTAGAATAGGTCCTCAGTATACCCCATTGCTTGTCGTAAAAGGCGACTAAATGGGGTGATCCTTCGGATGATACCGTATAAAGCGAGGCCCCGTTTCACAGCAGGTGTGGCACGATAAAGATCCCTCCCTGCTCAAAGGCCGTAAGTGCAGAACATAGGCCTAAATTTGCAGCCCTTCACCAGCAATGGTGACGTCTCCATATTAGTGAAATATTCTGGAGAGGGACGTTAAACAGTATGCAATCAATCAATCAATCAATCAATCAAAAGCATGTATGACTCGTCAAACGGTGCAATCTTTGATCGTTTTTACTATATTATATAACTTTCAATTGGCATTGTATAGATTCCATGTGTATTTATTTATATGATTTTCTTTCTGTATTTCATACATTCTGCCTAAACAAAAAAAAAGTAATTTATTTAACATTGTTTACTATATAAAAGTTTACTTTACATATAGCTTACTATAATTAATCGAAGATTTTACTTTTAAAGTATTTTTGCGAGAAATTAAGATTTGAATATTTCATCTAATTTTATTCCTACAAGTTTTTTTTAATGTAAAAAAAATTTGTATATTATATGTATTATTTTGAATACCCCCCCCCCCTGAAAAAAATCATCATTGGTATGTAATGAAAGTAATTCCTTATCTTTAACAAGTTCTTGATTAAAGTTTCATAGAAAATACATGTAAGAGTATCAATATACGTATGTAGCTAATATAATGAACTATAGCTAGTAAACTATAAATAGTAATTTTTGCTAGAAAATATTTGTCCTGTAATGTCTTACCTGTATTCGATATTTTTTTTTCTTTTTGTATGTAAAAGGTGAAAATAATGCACAGTGATCAATCTAAAAAGTCTATCACACTGTAACAATACAATGTAATAACACAACATTTAAGATGAAAATATTCTTGGCTCCTGACAAAAACGTAGAATCTGTCATTTTATCTCGCTTTACCAAATATATAAATAAAGTCAATTTTTTCATGATGAATTTTAAAGAAAATTTAATGAAAATACATATCAGCTAAGTATTTATTTCAAAATTTGGATTTCACATCATGTTAGTGAAGTGAAGATGGCCTTAGAGCAGGATGATATATATATACATGCAATTAAGAAATACAAATTAATGCACGACCGAAAAACATAATCTTAATGTAAATGTGATTCAGTGTTTAAAATATTAATTCATGTTTTTCAAGTGCACCAGATAGATGTTGCTCTCTTATCAGTGGAAAAAATACATTTGTCCAAACTTGATTGTCAGGTGAAGAGATGTAAACTATTACATTGCTAAAGGATATCAGGAGTTCTCCGAATTGAAAGATAGCAACGTGGCACATGTACATATATACCGTAAACAAGGTTATATTTAACAGCCTTTGCACGAATTCGGTGTGTTCAGATGATAATGGTTTATAACTCACATGATTTAAAGGAATTAATCAGGTGTCCGTAAAGTAGGAAATCTGTCTACTTTATTTTTTTCATATCAAATTATAGTATCTGTAAAACGTACATGTGTTCAATGCTTTTGTTGTTCTTTTAAAACAGTATTAATTAGTTTTCCTTCCTTTATTTTTTGACTTATATAACTCATTCCATTTATTCAGCAGAGAACTTGAAAAAAGAAAATGGTTTCACTTCAAAAAACCAGATTAGACTTGGCAGTTAATGCATTAATAATTGTTGTGGTAAGAAAAGTAATATGTTCAAGATTCATCCTCTCAAATTTTTCATTCTTGTGACTGTTTTACTTTAAAACCTTTTAGAATATGAATATTTATAAATTAAACAAAAATAATTTATTCAAACTCGAAAATTTAAGAATTTGAGGGTGAGATCGCTCAAGACAGCCACTGCTCTAATATGCTGTCTCATTTAGCAGCAGTCTTGTTCAAAGTAATCATTTCATAAGTTCTTTGGTCGATACAATGACCCTGTCAGCAAATACAGTGTATCATTCATTCAAATGCTGACTGACATTTTTCATTCTTACGAGGGTTGTCCGTAAAGTTCGTGGACAATCTAAGAATTAAATAAAATTTATGTCATTAATATTTATCATTAGCATACTTCTAATCATTTACTAAATGTGAATTGAAAAATATAAAATCTTATTCAATTTCAAGTGTTTGTTTTCAAGTATGACTTCAAAATAAGACTTGCAATGGAGACCCGGAGCACCGCAAAATTTTAATTAAAAAAATATGTATTACTTTAAAAATTTCATTTGTATTTTATGAAATTCTGCGGAAATCTGGGTGACTTTAACATTATGAGGTTGACAGAAATTATCACGTCAAACATGCAAAATTGGACCGTTCGAAGTCGTAAAATGGCAGAGCAATCAAAGTTAGAACTTATTAAGACGGATCAGAATTTTTCCAAAAAAGGGACGTTTTCGGAAAAGGTGGAGCAGTGAGCAGTGAAAGCATTCTGCGTAGACATCAGATAACCTACAAAGACCAATACATTTTGTAAACAATCAGGAAAACATAGTAAAGGAAGCCGTTCATTAGATTTTAAGTGGTATATAAATATTTTCGGACGGAAGGAACAGTTTATAGGATTACATGCGTGAAGGAAAATCATCATTCCGAGATTGCAGTGCTGTAAAAATGACTTTCATAACGTGACGTTATCTTATTTCCGCAAATAAAATCGTTTTTACGTGGACAGAGGTTGGATGATTACAGGATATGAGACAAGCATTGTTAAATAATATTTTACGTGTTAAACCTGAACATTGTGTGCACATATTTATCAGTGGTTAAAGCAAACATGAGAAACGTAATGAGTTAAACTTTGACTATTTTGTGAAAAGTTACATGCTTCTGACGTCGGGTAACGTCAAGAATTTTAATTTTAGTGCTCCGGGTAAGATTGTATGTCTTTTTTTTTATTCCTATAAAAAAATAACTATCTGTGCTTTGTTTTTGGTGAAAACTTGCATGATAATAAAACGAAACATGAATTGAATGAAAATAATAATTTCATATATTTTATCAATGTTTGTCAGTAATTATCAATGTTGTCCACGAACTTTACGGACAACCCTCGTACTGTTAGTTCATTATTTAATTAGTAAATAATACACACACTGAATTTTCTATAACATATAAATATTCTATAACATGTTTATGTTGTGGTAAATAGGGACTTGATATTAAATTCAAAGGTCAGGAGATCATATATGCTGTTAGCATAAGTAATGTCTTACAAATGTGAAAAATAGAGATATAGTTCCAACCAATCAAAACTTCAGGCATAGATTCTAATAGATTTTTTTATCAACCGAATGTATTAAAGAGTCTCTTTAAAACCATATTTAAACAGATTTTCAAATAACGTTTACTTTGGTTTCTTGAAACCAATAACATTACGTTACGATTATAAAATGACCAGCCAATAAGACTGGGAACCTATATTCGAGATGTCATTATAAAAAGGAGCATTTCGAAAAAAAAATATTTAGAAAAAAAAAATGATATGATACAATCTGGAGATGCAGTAAGAAAGAACTTTATAATATTTGTCTCAAAGACCATTACCGTGATAGCTGAAAGAAAGACATTTTAAAATTAAGCTGCAAAATGACACGGTCATTTGAAAACTTTTCGCGGTTTCTCGAAGAACAACAGTACTCACTGATATATAAGTTTGGCACATTCGTGAATCTGCGTTAAGAAATGTTTTAAAGTTTGGATAATATTAGAAACAAGTTTTCTCTATCTTGCATTGTTTTATGATTGTAAAGGTTATCTGAAGTTGTCTGCCAAACATCCAAAACCATGTTTGTACATACATGTATTTTCAAGTTGAACATCTGTATTGTAGTAAATTGACTTATTAGATGCCAGGGCCCAAGAGCATATAAAAAAGTTTTATGATTTTTTTTTTTTTTTTTGCTTTTGTTTTCTTTTGAAACAAACTTTATTGTTTACGGCTTGGTAATACAAACAAAAATGCCTGGATTCGTACATTTTTCTTGGCATATTTTCATTGAAAATGATGCAAATAAAAAATTTCTAGAATATAAAGATATTGTTATCCTTACATGATGTTAAAAATTCTGCCTCTTCGAAGCCATCCATTTAAATCTATACAAATATTTTTTTACTCAAAATCCCATTTGAAATTTGAGTAAGAAATTAAAAACTACACGGTGAAACCTATTTATTATGCTTATTAAAAATGACTTAAGTTGTTATTTTCAATTATGTTGACAACAGTTTGTTTGTATCATATATGCTCAAAGTATGTCACATTTGAAATTAATTATGTCAAGGTTCTTTTAGGAAGTTTATTCAAGATAAGTTCTTATCTAGCATGATTACAAATTGCAGAGATTGATTGATTGATTGATTTTATATTGTTTAACGTCATAAATTGCAGATAAAAAAGGGGTCAGTTTCCATTAGTTGACGATTGACAAACCTAATAGTACAAAAAGATTAAAAAAACAAGATCTATGAACTTATATTCTGGTCTTCTACCAAATATTTATCCAAATGACATTTCCCATCTATTGAGAAATATAGTATAACCATTTACCCGTCCCAATACGTGGTGCTTATAATACATCCTTTAAAATATAAAAATAAAAGGAAAAAATCTAAAAATTTTAAAATATTAAAATCATATTTTTACTATAGTGCTATGCAAGAGCAGCCAGCGATGATGGATACTGCCAAGAGGCTGTGCAGACTGCTGTCCAAGTTCCTCGCTGTCCTCAAAACTCAGTAGAAGCAGCAAATGCTGCAGCAAATAAAAACTGTGAAGCAAAAGCACAGAATCAGAAGTGTACAAACTCATCGAACTTTGTATACCATTGTGTAATAAATGTTTTTGAAAATGCAACTGTGGAAGTTTGCGCCCCGTCTAAGTTTATTCACGGTAAGACTTCAAATTTCACTTTTAAAAAATTATTCACAATAATTATATACTCAAAATGTATACTTAGTTTATTCTCGGAAAGATTTCAAATTTCACTAAAAAATCACTAAATTGATACTTAAAAAGGTAGAAAAATATTTTTCCAGGGTTCTGTACCGAATTCAACATACAAGGTGGACGAATACAACCTCATTACTTCCGCAATTGCTCAGGTTTAAAGCCACCATGCCCAGCACGTTACCTATCAACAGATGCTTACAAATGTAATGTTGTTTTATCCGTCTGGCATTTTCCAACAATTATATTATTTATTTTAATTTTTCATTTGATAATTTTTTTATGTTGTTTTAGACAAAGGATGTTATGATCTTATAAGAGCAAGTAACAAAACGGATCGAAGGAAATCGACAGGAAAGCAAACCGATGTTAACGAGGACAAAACGTAAGTCTATTGCTAAACACCTCATTTTAAACTATTCACAGTTTGAGACTTTATGTAAATATTCTCGTTCAAAGTAGGAACAAATGAAATGGTATATTCAACTTGAAGGTCTGTTTCAGTAATTATAAAAAATAATTTCTAGAATCTTACATTGCAGCAATAAATAGATACATGTATGCTCAGCAAATACACAGATTTTTAAAACATTCACATATGTATTCAATAAACGACTGTACTTTCTTTTTGTCTATTGCTTCAAGAGCAAATAAGTTGCGTGATTTAATTGCTTAAGTTATTAAATGCCCCCCCCCCCCTCCGAACGATTGCACCATTTTTAGCAGAGTTATGCTTCTTGGACTTTTAAAATTATTTGCAGTTTCCGTTCATTTTCTTTGCAGAGGTTGCACATATTGAAATGAAATTTGGTATACAGATTTATCATAAGATTATCTAGATCAAATTCAGTTTTGGGCACGATCAGGCCATTTGGACAGAGTTATATATGCTCCTTGGACTTAGAAAAATTCCAGTTATATGCTGTTTTTGTTCATTTTCCTCGCAGAGGTTGCACATACTGAAATGAAAGCTGGTTTTCAGATTCATCAGCTGAATCTGTTTTGGGTACGATTGTGACAGTTTTGTCAGAGTTATCCCCCTTAGACTTGAAAGAAATCCAATTGGGGGAGGTGCATAAGTGTTTTACAAACATCTCTTTTTTTATAAATATGTTTTGAGCATTGATCAAAGTTTTAAAAACATTTTGTATTACATGTTAACGATTATTTGTTTTCAGTGAAGAAATTAGATTTACTGTAAATTGCATTCTCTTCTTCAGTATTTATATCAATTGAATTGATATTTTTATAGTATTGTTGCTGCTACTGCATCTATTGTACCATTGGTAACTGTAACCATCTTAGTTGTGATTGGATGCTGCTGGTGTAAAAGAAGTAAGTAGAAGAAATATGACTTCAATTTTTTTTTTCATTCATGTTACATAACGATAAACAACTGAAGAAATTTACGTAAAGTTGTCTTTGTTTAGGAAAGCAAAGGAAGCAGAAATGTGATGTTGATCAAGAAACTGTACCACTTACTGATAGGTAATTCAAATCCATAGATTTTAAGAGTTTTGTCCAATATCCGTAATTTTCAGGTATAAAATCAATAAATTCTCACAATTGCCCTTCAAAGATTAAACTTTATCAAAGGAAACAGAAATTGACATTGGTATTTCACTGTCAAAGGACTGGACTGAAAGTAAACTAAAAATACTAATGTTAATTTGTGATGTTTGGTGGTTTAAAGAAGAGAAACTTTGAATGTTTTTTTTTTTCATTTTGATCTTTTAGTTGAGCAAATAAAGGGGAACAACTTTTGCAAAGTGTGGATTGGATTATTAATCTAAATTTTTTATAATAATTTATTTCTCATGGCTTACAGAAAATAAATATGCAAGAATGCAAGCTGTTAAATAATAAATAAATAAAAGTTCTGAACATTTTCATTTCTATCATCATTTCTCTTTTCAAGATATATTTATCGCGGAAATAATAAATCTTTCACATCATATACACACAGTATATATCATCTTTATATATGTACACTAATGACTTTTATTAACAAAAAAAATTTACACCATACGACAAATTAACGACACATCATCATCTCTTCTAAAGAAAATCTGTAATGCATGTAAAATTTTTAATTGATTTTTTAAAAAAATATTAATGATTTATCAGTCATACCTGACAAAAGAATTAAATATTTTAAATTAAACTGTAATTAAAAATGATTGGCATTTTTTATTTGGTGCTGGTGGGGGGATACATGTTTTACATACATAATTATGCATACCTGCATATTCCTTGAAAACTACCAATTTAACTGTAGGTTTTAAAAACTCATATACACATGGATTGTACACGTTCCTTTTTGATCAAAGTTGTTTCCCTAACGTTTTGTAAAATAAATAAATTTGCACAGTTAAATCAGTTCAATACATCAGATCAACTTTAGGCTTAATATTAAAATTTGCCACCACTCATATTATTTCATCAAAATTTTCAGTGCAATTGAAAAGTGTTAAAAATGTTAATAATGAAATATAAGTGAAATAATAATATAAGAAGGAAAAAGTAATTCGAATTTTAAAACAATATTGCATTTGAGAAAATTAGAGTCTAAGATATCAAAATTAAAACGTGAAAAAATTGTCCTCATTATTTGGAAAATAACAAAATTTACAATTTTTAATGTAATTTTATATCAAATTATAGTTTAAAAAACTTCCTTTTTCAAATCATTTCAGGGAAACAAATGAACTCCAAATCGGTATGGCATTTTCAAATCTGTTTTAAAATCTGTTTATTTAAGGTTTGTCAGGACTCTATTTGTAAATATTACTAATTTTGATTCAGAGATTACCGATTCTTAACAATACATTTGAAAAAAACATAGGTAGATATCAACCAGTATTCAAGGTCAAAAGTCCATAAAACAATACAAAATAGGGGCAGAGCAAACACGGACCTCCAAAATGAGGTATATGGAGAGAACGAACAGTATTCAAAATCAAAAGTCCATAAAAAAATACAAAATAGGAGCAAAACAAACACGGACCTCCAAAACATCAGAGATGGGATCAGGTGCTATGGAGAAGTGAACATCCCTTACTGACCGGTCAAACCCGCCTTGTTCTTCTTGTCATGATCGGGAAATAACGGAAAAATCCATCGTCAATTTACATGTAGTTTATAAATAATGGACTAACATTTAGTATGAAAAACGTCAGTCAGCATTTGACTTAATTATACATTGTGTTTTCTGACAAGGTCATTTAATTGTTATTAGATGATCATTTGCGTCTTTTTTCAAGTAAAATATTCTAATACGAAACAGATATGTCAGACTCTGTGGTATATTTATCTCAGGCTCACCGGAATATATCGTATTGACATAAGAATAGAAATTACCATTGTTAATTGACAATACGTCGACGATATACCTAAATGTCAAGTTGAAGGCAATAGCAAGTCTTTTCTCTTTCACGCATACGATTTTGCACAAATTCTGCTTAATAAGAATACATATCAGAGGTGGGATCAGGTGCCATAGAGTGAGCATCCCTTGTCGAATGGTCACATCAGCCTAATCTCCTTGTCATGATCGATCCTGAATTTGAGATATCATTTCTACGTTTCAAATGAAGTATATAACGAATGACATTTTGTTATCAAAATTGATGAAGACCATTAAAATACTAATCTTTTTATGTTGGATCTTTTTATTTTTTTTTCACCTTTAAAGTTCAATATGTCATACGTAATATTTGAGGACGTACACTACATGTAGATAATATTTTGTGTTTTGCAGTGTTGTTTTAAATAGTAAATTGTTGTAATAAGCAAATATTTTCGGTGCTTTTTGATCTAAAGCTTTTTAATAAAGTACTTTTTTACCTTTTGAAATTTAGTCGAAGTCAGGTCAGGCCTGTTCGGCATAATCTTAAATTTCTGTAAGTACAACCCATATTATTTTCATATATACCAGTATCTCTGTAAACATATATATTTAGCTCGTTATAATTTTTTTGAAAACATTGACAAATCGGATAAAATACAACAGTGTGCACTTTATGCAATATTTTTATAGTCATCTTCAAATCTTTTGGATCATAAATTCAGATATGCCCTCTTTAGTTTTTTTTTTTTTTACGATTATTATTATTGGTGAGTAAATATCAAATTTTTAAGCAGAACGCATACATTTTTTTTACCATACTTAATTGATGTGTTATGTATGTATGTATTTTAATAAGGGAGAATTTAATATCCATATCTGATAAAATAATTCTGAAGGGTAATATTTTTATTGACTTTTTGTGCTATTATTTGATCAAAAGAGAATCTAAAGAATGCTCTTTTAAAGTTAATCTTTAAAATTACCTTTCATGAAAAATACGCAAAGCTTGCTTGCAAAATGTTGAAATAAAACTTTTCTAATATATCTATAAGGATATGAGTATGTTTTTAGTGTTTTGTCCTGCATTTTTTTGTGAATTCTTAACACTAATAATGGTGCTTAAACTGTGCTTGATTTTTATCCATCATTCTTTTCACCAATCAAATAATTGGAACAGTAAGAGAAAACAGGTAAGAGAGAGTGATTATTCAATTTTGTCTAATTTAGCATAAAGCATAAATAATATAAATAAACTGTTTAAAATTTTTGTAGATTATCCACATTGTAATTGGATTAAAGCTCTTCAGAACTTATTTTATTTGTTGATGTTCCCTACATTAAATAAATATTATATCTTATCGTAATACATGCATATCTATTTATAAATTCATTGTATATTTTATAAGCAGAAATTTTCCTTAAGTGCTCTTCTGACGTTGAACAAACTACAAACAAACTCTGTAGATATTTAACATATACTGTTGAATACATTGTGGTCGTTCTTATTCACTCTATATTTCTCCAAAATGTTTCAAAAATTTATTGCTGAACTTGAAAATATGTAGTCTTATTTCCAATGACATTTTATCTAAAGTACAACTTTTAAACATTATAAAACATTATTTTTGAAAAAAAATAAAATGCATAATGTTTCAAACATCAGACTAAAAATAAATATTTTTGAATAGGGCAGATGGAGAGAGGATTTCCTTTTCAAATCAAGTTGATGGTAGGTCGACGAATATTTTAACTACAATCATGTATAAATACGAGGGTTGTCCAGTAAAATCGTGGTCAAGTTGTCTATTGTCAAATATAATCATCACTGCGTTATGAAATTTTCACTTCTTTTCACTACTTTTTACTACATGTACATATATTATGAATATACATAACAAATTTCAAATAGATATATGCATAAGTAAACAAAATATGAGATTTTCTGTTATGTATTTTATCGCCTTACGGTGCACGATGATAACGAAGGTAAACATGTGCACTTTTCACCTTTTCTAAAATAAAAATACTGGATAAGTCGAGTTATGTCCAAGACACGATGTAGTTACGATATCGACACATTACTTTTTTTTTTATTTTTTTATAGTTTTCTATAATATTTCTCTATTCTCGTGTGTTTATTACAATACTTCCTGTTTTAAGATTATTTCCTTACTGTTAATATCCTCGATATCGTGCCGACATCGAATAATGGTTGTTCCAAGAATTGTGGCTTCCATCCTTTATATGGTGTTTTACAGAACTGTTACTTAAAACTTTCTTTAAAAATCTTTCCCTGAAGTGTCGATATCGTCGATATCGACGATATCGCTTCGATATCGAATCATGTTTGCTCAGCCCTTGGTAAATACCTTCCCTGTTACTTTGAATGTGTTTATATTTAATTACTTTACTTTTACAAAGATTTTTCTTACCATCGATATCGTCGATATCGACGATATCGTATCGATATCGAATCATGATTGTAAACAGCATATTACTGTACCAATCTTCACCCTATTACAAAAACTTTATTTTTACATCACTTCTGTGTTTAGTAAGTTTACCTTGCTGTCGATATCGTCGATATCGACGATATCGTATCGATATCGAACCATGATTGTTAAAGCATTTTAAAGAATTTTCACCCTTACCCAACATCTTACTCTAAATCTAATCTAAAACAATAACAACCCTTGAATTTTCTTAATCATAATTTTTTTTCACATTCATGCCAATAATGAATCAATTTTCACTTCGCTTGTTACTTTGTAAAAGTATGTTATACCTCAATGTGAAAATAAATTGTGCAAATAGGATCGATATCGATACGATATCGTCATGATATTGTCGATATCGACGACATCGACGTCATATAGAGTCTTAAATATGGCACCAGGTATTACCAATTAAGAGTGCTGATCACATTCGATATCGATACGATATCGACATAATATTGTCGATATCGTCGATATCGACATCGAATTCGTTCTTGGACATGTATGGAGTTGTCTCACTTATTTTATGAAATTTAATTATTGATGCAAAGACTTTGGTCTACATAAACCGTTGTAGAACCAATCTGACACACACACATGAGATCATTTGAAGATTTATTAGTAAGTTATGGACAATATTCTCACCATTATCCAACCAATAGACAAACTTATATCGACGGTCGACGGTGACAGCGTAATTTGCTATGACACAATAGCAGTTTGTTCATATGTTTTGTACTACCTCGGGACTCGATTTCTTCAGTATTCATACAAAGTATCTGAATAAGATGTCATTACAACCTCAAAATCAAACTTAACTGACATCCGGTGCGCCGAAACGTCAACAAACGGAATCATTTTTATTGTGTTTACCACTTTCCCATTTCGAATTCTTGGGAAACTGCCAAAAAACCAAATCACTGAAAATTTTAAAAATACCACAAAATGGACCAAGGAATCGAATAGGAATTATTTTATCCCAATCTTTTGCATTTAAAACTTTTATTTCGAGTTAATACTTGTGTATTCTTTAATAAAACCTTGTTTTTTTTTTTGGCCGTGAATCATAGGACCGTATTCTGGGTACATTCAAGTAAACGAAATCTTTTTTTTTGTGCATAGAATACCCCAAAAAATTATAATGTTTTTAGATATGATAAATAAACATTTACTGAAAATTTTAACTTATAGCGTCCATTACTTTTTGAGAAAAACGCTTTGTCTTCGCTTTTACAGGACAACCCTCGTATAAATGCTGGTAAATTTTTTTTTTATCTTTGAATATATATGTCAGATGTTTATAATGGTATTTAATGTTTTGAGGTGTTTTTTGTTTGAAATAATTAGCTTTTTTACTTAGAAAATTAAAAAAAAAGGAATTTCAGTTGAAGCTTCCATAACTATAACAGCGATGCACATTCAGTTCTTTCACAAAAATATAAATTTTGAGAGGAACACGCAGGTAGGTTAAGGTTACAACCAAATATTCTACTTGCCTATATGATATGACGTCATAGTAAGCTATATGACGTGAAGTTTAGAGATAACAATTTCTTATAATCGATATCTAAGATTGATTTGAGGTCGTAAAAATTAATCAAAATATGCAAAGGCATTATACAAACAGAATTTTGTCATTTCTGGGTCTCTGTAGTTGTCACACGGGTTAAATACCAAACCCGTGACGTCATAACTGTTGATCATGCAGTAGCAGAGTGAAAGTGAAACGTAACGAGAATTCATGTAAACAAACACAAGAAATCGGAGTTTAAAAGCATTTAGAATGAATATCATGTGTGATTCATGTGGGAATAAAGCTTATGAATAAGGTATGGCAATATACTTCAACAATATCTTCGTAAAATTAAAGCAGGGAGGGTGTTTACTTGCCGATCAGCCTTTCCTCTGTCGTTCGTAACAAATAAGATGCAAAAGTTCAACACTACGCCGCACACTTTGAAACTTAATTTTTGTTTCTATCTAAAGTTCTTATTCTATTATTTTTGTAAAGTGCTGCTAGAATCGTATGGTTTACGGGAATTACTGCATTTTTTTTTCGATGTTATGAACAAAATGTAAATATTTTGGGAAGGTTTCGTCAGAAAGTGTTGAATAATTATTTCTGTGATAAGACAGTAGGATTCTAGCAGCACTTTTCATGATACAGAAATGTTTTTACATAATTATTATTACAAATTGAAATCAATTATCCCCGGGGTAGTGTTAAACTTTTCACTTTTTCATTAAGGCATATTTTCTAATTATAGACGTCACGTGGTGACGTCGTGGTGAAGTGCTTCATGTAGTATAAGTCCCAATGAAGTCTATAGATTGCATAATTATAAAAAAAGTTTTATGCTTGACTTTTCCGATTTATTAGTGTTACATAATTATAAAGAAGTCTTAATTCGCCGAATTCAGGTCCATGTGCTGCCTTAACATACCCGCGCACTCGTTATACTCAAAATATAATAAAATAACCATTCTCAATGATATTTTGAGTAGTGCATTAGGTTCAAGAATCATCAAAGTTATATTGTTTTTTTTTTTTTTTTTTGATTTTCTAGATCAACAAGACACTAATGTCGAGACTGTCCCTGATATGTAAGTTTTTGTTTTACATTTTTGTACTTTAAGGAACGCAATTTGAAAGAATCATTTTTAAAAAAAATTGCATTCAAACAAATTATCGTAAAGAGAACAAGTTACACAGAATACACAAAGTCTTATTTTGTTTATCAAACTATTGAATGTAATTAATCTAATGTAATTTTTACTAAAAAATAGTTCTTTGTTTTACATGTTTATTCTACAGGCATTTTTTTATGAATATGGTACAGTTTAAAACAGTTAAACATTGAAACTCGTTTAGTATGAACAAGGATATTGCAATTTCATTGCGAAGTTAACTTGTACCCCCAGGTTAATTAATGCAACGAATTCCTCATACAGATATTACAAATTACAGATATTGCGAAGTAATTTCATAGAACCCAGTGATATCGCTATAACCGAGTTTTACTGTAACTCAGTGACAATGTATACAGTATACTGTTATATCCCCTGTCCTACATTAAAGGAGTGTTTCACACGTGTATGTCTATGTGTGTGTCTGATAAATTTTCCTCGCAGTTATCTCATCAATACCCACGTGGCATATATGTATGCTTGAAATTTAAGCAAACTCTTCGTTTTTCGTATGACTTTTGTTGGGATTCATATTTGTAAGAATCCGATTTCAACTTTTTCTTTATCTGTGCGTCTGTCCGTACCTATTTTCCGTCACATCTGAACTTGAGTATAATCATTTAATCAGATCGGGGACATTACAGAACTAGTGAGCTCTGGCTAATTGACTTCTTGTTTAAATTGAAAACAACTGCATTCCTTATGATGAAATAATAATGAAGTATGCATTAATATGCAGTTTTGTTTGTTCACTGCATTTACCTTTGCAACTATTGTAAGTTTCTTTTGTATCTTTCTATCCTCTTGTTGAATATACAAATATTAATATAATAATAATAAGTCGCTACCGAGTGTTTCACAAAAGCTTTATTGAATACGCCCCTCTCTCAGTTGAGAATGAAATATATGGAGTATTCCAGTTTAAAAGTCCATAAAACAATACAAACTAGGAGCAGAACACGGATCCCCAAAACATGAGGTGCCATGGATGAATGAGTATCCCCTGCCGACCGGTCACACCCGCCGAGTGCTCCTTGTCATGATCGGGAAAAAACAAAACGAATCAGTTGTCAATTCAGTGTATAGATAATGAACTACATGTAACAATTACTAGGTAAAAATTAGTCAATATTTGACTTACTCACAAATGGCATTTTTCTGACATAGAACTTATGAAATGATTAATCTAAACTAGACCGCTGATATTCTTGTTTCATCAACTTGTTTGTCAAAAATTTACGTCGATTTAGAAATTATACATACGTAGAGCATGCTCTTGTGTATCAAATCAACTAAGAAACATAAACTCCGTATGCAGGTGATGAGGGTTTATCGCTCATTTTTCTGAATGGTGACTAAAAACAACTAGAATAGAGGCACTGATATGTAGAGCCTGATTCAAGAAATATAGCAGACTAAGTCGTTTTACAAACTGTTTTAAATTTTAACGAAAGAAAGCTTAGGTTTGATTTAGTTTCTTAGAATAATTTACATAGAATAATTTACCAAAACGATGTCAAAATGACACTTTGGATTTAATACAGGTACATGTACATCTTTTCGCCTGACCCTTTGTATAGATCTGTCTGATAGGAATCTCGATCAATTTCACAATAAAACCTGAAAATGTAAAATCAAATTACTTTACAACTTAAAAAAAAAATATTACTCAAAGACATTTTTCAATATTAGTTTTATATAAACGGATTTTGGCCCAAATGGTGATTTGCGTCTAATTACATGTACACATCTGGTACACAGGTCATTTAAAATAAATAATCTTCAACAAATTGAAATGTTTTTCCCCGATATTTATGAATATTTTGAAATGGATTGTATATTCTTGTAACCGTTTTTGAATGGTTTTCAAAAGTTTATCATAGTTTTGGAACATATCAGATAAAGTTGAAGATACATAAAAAGTTATTTTCAGGTTTGGAGGGGTAGAACTGTAGGTATTTTGATCTTATTTTACGAACATGCTTTGACAAAAAACATCTTTAAAAAGTACTTAGAAAATTATTATTTTATAAATAAGATTTCACGGTTCTTTTTATTCCATAAACATTTATGTTATACATTTATAACGATAGAATGTTAGGATCCTTGTATAATTCGAGAAATATCATGATCTGAACATAACTATAATTCTTCTAATTTTTTTCCCAAACAAATTATATTTGATAAACTTTGGAGAGCATTCAATGAACATTATTTTTTTTCAAATTGTAATCATTTGGTGACATATTATCAACAATATTGATATTATATGATATTTTGTTTAGTTCTTTCAAGCGACAAGCTACACATATCAGCAATGCCCCCTTTTCTTTATTGCAGTGACGATGCTGAAAGATTGGAGTCTATCACACAGTCAAAGAAAGTTCAGATAACATGTTCAGGGCCCTTAGAAGAAATTGATAAAAAGTTAAAAGCAAAAAATCTAGCTGAATTAGAACTTAAGAACCAAGAATATTTTAAACTTTTCAAAATGAAAAATACCGAATCAGTTGACACGAAATCCACTGAAAAGAGATTCAAGGATGAAATGAGAGAGCTTCAAAAGACAGGGATTCCTAAATTGAGAGAACTTTATGCTGCCTCCGAAATACTGGAACAAGAAGTGGTACTTATACTCCCTGAGTTTGGAAAAATATTACACATTTGGCCAATGCTGAAAGAAATAACTGAAAACAATCCATTGGCTATAGAAGTCCTCTGTGAAGAAAAGACTCCAGCCTTTCGAAGACTTGATAAATTTTGTCTTGAAGATGACGACTGGAAAGAGTTTATAGATCTTAATAAAGATCACAAACGCTGTTTTGACAAGCGGTTCCTTAACGATTTTCAAGTTTTTAAATCCGAAAACTTTTATCCTGACTTGTCCCCTTTAATAACTTGCGAGAGGAAGAACTTTTCTGTTTCTGAAATCGTAAGCTGTTTTGTTTATGGAAATCTCTTTCGCACTCAATTAATAGAAAAATACGTTTCTGAACACCAACAAGACGACATATTAAAAACTATATATGAAAAACTAGTTGATTATGAAACTTACATTGGCGAAGACCAATTACAAAAATTAGGAAATTTACAGGAGGAAACCGAAAGAGAAGAATACCTGAAAACAATTGAAGCCCAAGCTTTGGCTGCTCATTTGACAAAGAGAAAAATAACATCAAAAGGAGATTTTTTATCGATTGCAAGTATATTTAGTATTGATTTGTATATTTGTGCTGGTGAAATGAAACAGCTAATTCGTCCGATCTGTACAAAAATAAACCAGGTTTTCCATGGACATTTAATCCTCTTCTTGATACCAGACTCAGAAAGTTCATTTACAGTTGATTGTTATCCCTCACATTCCTGTTTTTGTAAGATGGAAACACCTATCATAACAGGTGTTTTTTCAGACATTCAAGAGGAAATTTTACCAGAAATTAATAAAAAAATAAGTAAGCCAAGTTTTAGATATTTGATTACATTTGTAGATCTATGCTTATAGATTTCTACAGAAATTCTTTTAAAACTAAATGGTTCATACGATGTTGTATTTAATAAATTACAGATTCTTCTTCGAAATGCTGTTGTAAGCCTTGGTGGCCAAGAAAAAGCCATACCCATCTTTCGCATTTTCAAAAATGGTTCCATCCAGATATAATCAAGAACAATTTTCGAAGAAAGAAACCGTTTGTAAATGTCAGACATAAAAACCAGTCAGAGATCGACAAAAAGTTGCTTGATTTTCTTGAAGAGGATGGGCGCACTTTGCAACAAGTGCAATCGGGTACTATCTGTGAATGCCTTGCAAAAGAAGTGTATGGGACTACGACGGTTTCAAGTACAGAGAAGATCAGGTACGTTTGAAGGAACTTTATTCGGTAATAACCAATATTTGCCCCCCAAATCAAACTTTGATGGAGGTATATTAATTAAGATCTTAAACAAGGGTAAACAAGTAAATGCTGACTTCAAAGCACTGAATATTTTCATAAGTAATGACGTCATATGTACGAAATGACGTCACAAACATGACGTAAATTTCAGTTTTTTATGAATTCTACAGAAAAATGTACATATTTCGTCGATATTTTGAGTTAAAGTCACCGAGCGCATGTGTGTTCAGGATCAATATTTTGATATAATGTGTGGAATGACAATATCAATGAAATATGTAAATATTGCTCCTGAACAAATTTGCGCTCTATAAATTTTAAAGCTAAAATTGTTGAAAATTTGTCCATTTTGTCCTCTTTCTGAAAAAGATATTAAATCGGACTAGCTTGTGACGTCATAAAAACAAAAAATTGTGAATAAACTGCTTTGAAACTATAATATGTTCTGTTAATTTATATTTCTCATAAAATTTATTGAATTCAGCACATTTCAGGAAGTTTTCGAAATTTGACTTTTGTGGGGGCAAGTATATGCAATATACCGCATATAGTTCATTGTTTGTGTATTTAACGTCCTTCTCGAGTATTTTTAATTTTTTGTTCACATCGAGACGCCACCACTTGTCAGTGAATGGATGTAAACTAATATCTATACTCGGCAAACAAGGCTATTAAGCAGTGTCAACACCTGCTGCGAAACAGGACCTCAGTTCATTCGTATACATCCGAAGGAACCATCTCCAACCAGTTGATTGTAATCCGCAATAGAAGGATCAGTTCCCGTCTTTGTGACACTAGAACAGACGGTGTTACTATTGTACCACGCGGACACAATGCCCCACCACAAACTTGGAGAAATAGTCTTGATGATATTATTCCCTTAATGGTCATTGACTGAGCGTCAAATCAGATCGTCCACACAATTTGACATTACTTTAATATATATATTAAATATTATATATTTTATATATATATATATATATATATATATATATATATATATATATATATATATATATATATACACACATATATATATATATATATATATATATATATATATATATATATAGAGAGAGAGAGAGAGAGAGAGAGAGAGCTCTTGTCCCTACTATTTTGAAAAGTGGTTGGAGCAAGTTGTCCGCTGTTGCTTTTTTCTTCGGGTTAAGGAATTTGTCTTAAAGAAAATACAATCAATTTCAAAGTAAACGGTTATCAGTATATCGTTGAACTCTCACAATCTTGGAAGCCCTACATATTTTTTTTCGAATTTTATACGTTTCACGTGAAAAGCAGTTGATGCAAGTGTAGTCATTTTGGCCGAATTCGGGAGAGAACCCATACATACATATGCAATAGTAGAATTCCCTCTAAATTTAAACTCATGCTAATAAAAATAATGACAGCATTATAATGAAACTTTCGGAATATTTTAAGCCGTATTTCCTATGAACATCTTTATCCTGGATGCGATGAAAACATATGAATACATGTTTCCATTGAAGTCTTTCCAAATTATAAGAGCGATGAAAATTAATTGCTTCATAAAATGATGTTTGACGTCGTATTTGAAAATATGTCACTCTTAAAGAGATGTCATCATATTCCGGTGTAGGGCTTCAAATGGATACCTTAGCATACAGGGCTATTGAGAGGTGAGAGTTCTTTATCGGACAAACGGCAACCGTGACAAAGGCCTCACTTTTGAAGGTCTTGTCCGAAAAAAATCGAGATTTTCACTTCTCATGACGGGCGCTCGGTGAAGGAACAATCACTATCTTTATGTATTTCTAAGGTATGACGCGAAGCGGTGAAAGAGAATCGAATCCTTGTCTTCTTGTCGTGTCCAGTTATCAAAAAGAAACATTTGTGCCTTTAATCACATTTCTGCGGATGTCCATTTGGGACCTATCAAAAATATTTTTGAATTCGATATAACGAATTTTCGAATTTGTTTTAACAAAGAGCAAGAGCTACTTTTGGCCTTATTTGGCCTTATTTGGCCCTGAGAATTTCTCTCAGTTTAGGTTGAAAATGCAGTTTTTATCACTTGGAGTGGTGGGGAACACGAAGCTATTAATTATGACGTAATTTCCTATCAGGTCAATGCATTATGACATAATAAAATGCGTCATTTTCCTCATATCTTGTAAATAAAGTAAAATTGAAGCAATTTTTCAATATTTCATGTAGAGAACAACCTATGATCCAAAATATGCAAATACATAATGTAAGCTCTGTTTTTGAAGATCAAAAAGCATGTTTTATTTTTTGGATCATGGGCTGTGCTAATATTTTAATTCTTTGCTGAAGTGAGTCAAATACGCATGTTTTCTGCAAATTTCAACAACATTGCAATTTCTCAAACCTGTTTCCAATATCTAGATTCTCAAAACAATTTTTTTTTTATAGAAAATGAAAGCGCAAAGTGTCTACTTTATTTTGATATATGAAATGGGAAAGAGGGTGATAGATAATTAATTGATATAAGTACAGGGCCATTTTATGCATAAGATGCATATGGCTCTTGCTCTTTATATCGTCATAAATTTCTTTGAATTAGTTAACATGATTTTCAGCTGATATATCATATTTGCTGAAGTCGTTAAAACGAAATCAAAAATTTGTTACAACGAATTAAATTCGTTCGATCAAATTCAAAAATTTGTTATAAGAAATTAAATTCTTTTAAACAAATTGAAAAAAAATGTTATATCAAATTAAATTCTTTTAAACCAAGCCTAAAGTTTGTTATTGAGAATTAAATTCGTTTAATCTAATTCAATCATGGTATATTAAAAAATATATATGAATTCGATATAACGATTTGTCGAATTTGTTTAAATGAATTTAATTTGTTTTAACAAATAAATTAATTCATTTAAGAGAATTCAATTTGTTTTAAGAAGTTTTAGTATGCATTGAAACAAGTTTTAATCTTATCAACAATTTTTTTTTAATTTGTTATAACGAGTTCAACAAATTTGTTATAACAGATTAAATTCATTATAACGAATTAAAAAATTGTTTCAGCGATTTAAATTTGTTATAACAAATTCGACAATTCGTTATATCGAATTCAAAATTATTTTTTGTTACGTCCTTAATCGGCTCCCGTACATTTCTTATGAAGCAATAAGTGACATATAATTTTTTCTGTTCTTCCATCTTTCCGAAGTGGTAAGGATATTGATTTTCTTGTGTCAATCTATTAGTCTGTCACTAGAGAGTAAAATATATGCATCCAAAAGAGATAACAAAATCTGGTAACTACTATTCCTTGAATTTTTTTGTTACAACCACGAATAAAAAAATCTGATATCCTTTTCTTTCCAGAAATACCATTTGTGCAAATGACAATGACAATGATGATACCATTCTAGAAAAAGCAGCAGAAACTCTGAAGACCGATATCTTTGTGTTCAAATATTCTCTGGAACACAGTCGTTGGGTATCTTTTCATCCAAAAGAAAGAAGAACTCGATGCCACTTTTACATCACATTACTTCAGATTGCTGAAGAGGACAGCCTCAAATATAATAGAATAATACCTGAAGAGGGATGTAATTGTCGTCATCTACCACCAGAAACGCCTTACTTTATTACAAAGGGTAATTAACAGGACTTATTTATTAGTCCCCTACCGGTGAAACCGAAGAAGACTATAGGTTTCCTCTATGTCTGTATGTCCCTCCGTCCGTACGTCTAGCTGTCCCTCTGTCTGTCTGTCTGTCTGTCAATCTTTCCAACTTGGTTCTCCGCACTTTTTTTTCTAAACACTTGCAGCTATTCAGTTGATATGTGAGTGTATTTTCATGAGTTACAGATCAAGTTTGTTTTCGTTACCTTTCAATGATTTTTCCCGGAATTACGACCTTCTCAATTTTTGAGGATTTCCGCAATTTTTTCAAAATACTTGCAGATATTAAGGTGACTTTTAGTATGTGTCTTTACCTTGATTAGCAATAGATCAGATTTGAGTTTCGTTCTGTGTCACTGATTAAACACGGAATTATGGCTTAATTTTTATTTTTTTTAATAATTGGGTTCACGATAGGATCCATGATGCACTTAATAAATGTTGTGATGCACTAAATTAAATGTTGTAAACGAGCGCGAGATTGTCATAATTTGAAACTTTCTGAGTAGCTTTATAGTGCCAAACCATAGATCAAGTTTGATTTTCTGGTATATAATTTGTTTTTAACCACATAAATTGAGTTGTTCTGATCAAAGCATGCATATGTGTCAAATGGTATTCAAAGACGTCATCTTTCTTTGTAATGCAGATCGTCTTAATCCAAGACCTTTCATTCATTAACAAGTAATAACTGAAAGGTCCATATTTTGGTGGCACTTTTTCATACACAGGGTCGAATAAAATGACACCCTATAGAGGAAAGGGATTCCTCTATGGGTTGTGTATTGCTTATACAATACTCTAGGAATGTTTGTATCTTTTTTTATTTTTCATATTTTAAAAAATGTGCAAAACAAAGTAGAAAGTATAAAGCAAACCTTTAAAAAAATAAGGACTGCAATACGTGGAACATTTTCTCGCGACCGGAAGTAACGTCTTAAAATTAAAAGAAATTGCCTTAAGTTTATATGATTGGCACCATTGCTGAAAGTTTCATGAAAATCCATCAACGCATTCACGAGAAATCGCGTGCACCAAATCGGTAAGAATAATAATAAGAAGAAATGTTGAAAAGAATACCAAACAACAGAATAAGAAGGTCTGTCGTTGAAAGGAAGACCTTAATAATGATAAAAACAAAGATGAGCTCGTTGCGAAGCAACGAGTAGATCTACCGTACATTATTGTTAAGGAGATGTTGCGATGTTGGATATCTTCAGTAGAATAAGTCAGATAAATCCATACTGATAAAAGACGAAATGAACGATTATGACTATTTTCTGTTGAATTGTACCATTGGACTTCTGATAATCTCAGAAGCTGGTACTTTTTATTTTGAACACCTTTATCTCTTTGATGTATCCAAAATCTCAATATTGGAAAGATGTAATAAATTTGTTGGCACTTTGCATCCCCAAATCTAGTAGGCTAGCCTATTTTTATGATATCATTGATTAATTTTGCAATTCTTTACAACTTTTGTTCTATTTATTTTAACAAAATATTCACATGTAACTATATTCGAGAATTAAAGTGGTAATTTTGTGAGATGTTTGTAAACCAAATTTTTACACTCTGTTGATATCTTGGCCCATCTGTGTTTAATAAAGGTAAAACATTTCTTCATCTTTTTAAACACTTTATTTGTTTTTGTTTTGTTGTTGTTTTAACTGTTTTAGTTAATTTTAGTTTTTGTACTGGCTAAAGTATAAAATAACAAAGTAATATTATATATTTTCCAGATGGTATAAAAACTGATTGTTTGACCATTCCAAGAGAAGATCTAGAATGCCATTCCCATGTCAAGATACTACTAAAAGACTTCAAGACGGATCCACAAGCAGATTACTTTTGCGATGAACAGAGACGTGTTCCCTTAGTTAGTTTTACTTCAGAACATGCAATAGTTTTATCACACCCTGAAATGGAAGACAGAATGATAGACCATATATCAGATATTTCTTTTTCAATTTGCAAGTGTATCAGCAAGGAAATATTTGGAACAGAAGGAAAATTTGATTTAATTTTAGATCATCTTATTTCGGAAATAGTAAATAATAAACATCTTTATGTTCGTTTGTTAGAGGAAATTCAACAGAAGACAACCATTGATATCGAAATGGTCGTAAACCTCCTTAAAGATGGTGTAGAGTTCGAAAAGATCGAACTTTCTGCAGCTGCAAATTATTACCAGTGGCCAATCTATACTGTAAGTTTAGAAGAATCTAATGGAGATTGTGCCGTTAAATGGATTGAATATAAACCAAATACAGAACAAGCAAACGAAGACTATTACATGACATTCTTCAAAGCTTCCGCTGGCTACTTTAATAGGGTTACCTGCAAAGATGCCAACAATGTTTGTAATTGCAGGTTAAATAAACCAAATGAAACAGAAGAATCACAAGGTAATGTTTCATTTTCGTTTAATCAAAGTATTTCAGTGCTAGTCATAAAAAATAACTGGCTTAACAACATACATGGCTGGATTTACATGATGTACTGAGATTTTCATTGGGAAACCTAAAATTCTTGAAGAAGTAAATCTTGATGTAGGTTAATAATGTACAGTATTGTGAATAAAATATTCAAGGAAGAATATTCATTATTTATAGCGATACTTATGGGTAGAGTGACTAATTTTATAAATACAGTTACAAAATCCCATTGCCATCCCATCTATCTTTAACCCTCATAAGATGTTCAAAAGTAAAATCGACCATATATCCATTTAACATGGCAGTTTAATTAAAATGTGAGAGATATACCGGGAAAAAAGTCGATATATTTGACCAGTCAGCAGTGGATGCTCACTGCTCCAAGGCATGTAATCCCACCTCTGGTATTTGAAAAGTATTTGATTGCTCTCTCCGTGATTCTTTGTGACTGAATACACTTTTTAGCTTGAATAATGTTCTATCTACACATATTTCATACATGTATATAATTCATTACCTCTTCGAATCAATGTACATCATGCACAATTGCATGAGCATTATTCACTGATTGAGTTCAGGGAAGAAAGTAGTGAAAATTACAGAAAGTTATAAACTGGCTTATTATAAATTTCTAAATTCGAAACATTATATGTATGAAGATCTTAAGGCAGCAAATTACCTTTTCACTTTAACCCAACTTAATTCCAGATACAAAAGGTTTTTTATTCAAAATTTAGAATGGAGTGTATTTTTTATTGATTTCATAATTTATTTTATGTTTGCAATAAAAGTTTGACGCATTTTTTTACTTGAATAAAAATTTAGGTGTTAATAAAGTCTGGAAAAGACGAGAGTTACAGCAATTATGGGGCCCTGTTAACCACCTTGTTAAACTGAAGTTTAATTTCGAAAATTGGATACGTTCGAATATCGCCTTAGAAATTCTTTGTCTAGAATTTGTGAAAACGTTAGAAGAACGAAGGAAGGGCACAAATATCGCCAGTATTGTTGGATCTTCCACCAGTTTGATTGGAACTATCCTTATGGTGTCTGGAATTCTCGCCTCACCTGTGACGGGAGGAGCAACACTTGCCCTGACAATTGCTGGAGGAGTTATTTCTGGGGGTGGAACAATCACAACTATCGGAGCCAAAGTGGCGGAATTTGCTCGTAATAAAAAGCCCAAAAGTATTGTTCGTCGACAACAGATGGTACTGCAGGAACATTCAAGACGCTTTGAAAAGATTGTGAAAGAATTAGATAAGTATTTGAAGATTCTAGAGGAAAAAAATCGAGAAAAGTTTACTGCTTCCTTAGATGTAGCTCCTGCATATCTACGTACATTCTGTAGTATTGGATCCATTCCACTTCTGATACTTAGGGTTTTAGCGAAAGCCATTACAAGCGCGGAGGCAGTATTTATTCCTGCGTCAGTTCTTGCTGATGGCGTAATAATAGGTATTGCCGCCAATAGTTTAAGAAAAGGCTCCAAAACTGACGACTCCAAAAAACTTAGAACTGCACATATTTTGTTAAAGCTTACACGAGAGCAAATGAATATTTGGGCATACGGAAACACGTATAAAGGAGGTAAATAATATTATGCTTAAATATAGTGTATTAAAATGTGTTTTCTTATACTTCTATGAAATACTTTAGGTATATTTAAAGAAAAAAAAATAATTTACATGATCTTGTCTTTTTCTTAAAGTAGAAACAGTAATGTTTATTACATGTACAGGATTGAAAAACTTTCAAAATATTTCGTATTTGTTGAACTTCTTAATAATTCTTTTCCTTATGCAGGAAGCTCGAATGACATTTTAAAGGAAAAGGCAGAAATTACAACACAAAATGAAGTGAACTAATTCATAATTAAAACATTTTTGCACATCATCTTTGCAAAGGTATTATAATTTTATTATATTTTGTTAAAAAAAATCTAAAAAGAATAAAATGTTATTAATAGATTGATTTATTAGTACATATACTCACTAATAAGAAAACAATATAAACAATTTATTTCTGTCAGCAGGTTTAAGGTCAGACGACACGTTTCTCAAAGATATCTTTTGCATCTCTTAGTATTACATAAAAACGCAGGTACGATATGGCTTCCCAGAGAAAATTGCAGTGTAAACTGTGCAAGAACTTCTCTGAACTACAAATGCATGACGTCATAATTGAAAATGACGTCAAGTCTCTGCAAACTTGAGCTGTAATGATTGGGAAAGTTTCATAAACTTTACATCATATTTCATTCTGCATATTAAGTTTCAAAAAGTTAGTGCTAAAATAAACTTTTCCAAATCTTTTTAAAAAATCTAATATATCCGAATGATTTAGGTAACTTTGTTTTATTTCTCTTGTTTAAAAGACAGCGTGTTTAAAATATGTATGAAAATATACTTTTAGTTTTTGCCCTTTTTCATACCCGGGGGTAGAAGCAGGATTCATAATATGTGTAAAAAAAAGCCTGGCGCATGCCATTAATGATCATGAGATGCAATTTGAGGTCTCTTGTGACAATTTGTTAGAGGAGTTTCCCCTCCAACTGAATATTGCTTAGGGAAAATGTATGATGGTTTTGATTTTCAATATACATATGTCGATGTTGAGTGGAAAATACCCCCAGATTGTCGGTAAGTTGAAGTTATTGTAAAATATTTTGTACCAAAGTTCCCAAGCACATTTTGGATTCTCAAGGGTGCAACGAGTTTATTTATATGACAAAAAGTAATAAAAATTGTGTTATAGGGCTGCACTGAAGCGATTAATGTGAAGCACTTCAGAAAGGTGAAAATGGCTGTCACGTGATCAACGAAGTCTTTTGATATCGTAACAAATATGTTTATATATAGGCTAGGGAACTCTCTATATGAATTGGCCGTATCTAGGTACGTAACTTAAAAATAAAACTTAAAATCGACCTTGCAATGCAATGTTACGTTTAAACATCATTTAAAGCTATGCGAAGCCTAATGCCTAGGTCACATTTCCCGACCGGTGGCCGAAGACCGGTTGTAATCGGTGGTAATCCTTGGTGTAAGCGATGCCTAAACATCGGTTCACATCGGTCTAGTAGTCCTTAAAGTATCAGTCACATTAAAACATTGCTGTGATGTCATTCCTTTGTTCTTGCAGTCTAAAAGTTTACCTGTGGCAGTCCGATATTAGTGAGCTGTCTGATATTAATCGTAATATCAGACTGTCGCAGTACTGATATCTAGCAAAATCGGACTGCTTCTGAACAAAAGAAATAAAAAGTGTGATAATTTAACAAACAGCAATTTAAATTTCTCACACAGAATGATGATTTTTAAACACTGATTTTACAAAATTGCAAAATAAAAAAAAAATAATTAAACTTTCATTTACACCGAATATACCGTATTAGGAAAAAGAACATGCGGCAGAACAAATAATGCAAATAAAAACAAACAAAAAATGGGAACTTCTAATAAACTTATTAAAAGTGAGAAAGTGTTTCAACCCCTTTTTCTGTTTTTTTGAAAAAGGGTGGGCACACTGGGGGTCACCAGTGAAGCACATAAACTTTCAACCCCCCCCCCCCCCAAAAAAAAAATATAATAAAACGCAAAGTTTAGACACTATAAAGAGCAGCATTCAAACAATTTGATTTTATTTTTCTCAGAAAAAGAAAAATGCTTAAACGCAAAATCAAAGTAACTAGGCCCAGTATATATGATAATAAATACTTAATTTGACAGACTTGCAACAAAAATTGAAAGAAATTTGAAGATTTTTACGTTTCCCTCAAAACTTCTGGATTATTGATTATGCTTGTTTTTCTGTAATGGAACATCAAAAACAAAAAAAATTAAATGGACTAGTGTACCTTTAGCACTTGCTTAATTTGCTGTGGATATTCTTCATATCGGCATTTTCCATTCCATTCCAAATTCATCATTCACTAGATTGTCTGTATGATAATTCGTTGCACTGCTTTAATCTCCATGTATGTTTTAATGAAGAAAAATTTTGTCCCCACTCTCCATATCAAATTCTTTCAAATACCTTCTTAATTCAGTGTAACCAAATCCCTAAATACTGAGCACTTTTCATTTAAGCCTGCATTCTTAAAAGAATTGCTTCAGTGGTCATTAACACCTTTGTCTTTTGTTCTAATATCGGACTGTCTCAGGTAAATCAAAAGCAATGTTTTAAGTACGATATATGCCTCATACAATTCTGTATTAAAAAATATCAGACAGTTTTCGGCCCTAACGGGCCTCAAACTGTCTGATATTTTTTAATACAGAACTGTATTCGGCATATATCCAATACTTATCCAGCGATGGGCAATAACAGCAATTTTTGATAAAAATGGCGTGGTTGCCGGCCGGACTTTACAAGGGCCCAGCGATGCATTGCTAATCATAAAACGATGTTCCAGGATAATCGGCCGATGTATATTACATCGCTCAGACATTGATGAACATCGTTCGCACATCGGTCGACTACGGGCCAATATTTGGTCGAACGTCGACCGATGATCGGCCGTTATCTGTTGCCCACCATTCAACCTCCCGATGACCTCAGATTCAACGGATATTGGACGATGCTTGGCCATACAACGGCCGATCCTTGAAAGATGTGTTAATAATGGGTTGCCGGTAAGGAGCGATGTGAGGCATCGTTAGAGACATCGCTGAATTTTATCTAAGAATTATTTCCTACCGATGACCCCAACGATTTGCAAAATGGCCTCAGTCACCGTCCGATCACTAGTGGTGTCCGGCCGGCAACCATGCCATTTTTATCAACAAACGCATCGGTTTCTCATCGTATATCCCATCGCTGGATAATGTGACTTACACTTTAACAGTACTGCGAAAAAAAAATGCATAGTCTTCATTCTATTGTAATTTCTACATTGTTTTAAATATGTTTTAGATTAAGTACATCAAGAATGGTGATATAGGCCATTCAGAACATTACCCATAAGGGATATATAAGAAATATAACCCAGGGGTATCCTATCCAAATGCCTTGTAAGGTACAATGATGTTTTGTAAGAAGACGTGTTTAAATACAAAAATTTCAATGACAAATTCTTGGAAAAAATGTTGATTATTTTCCAGAAACGTGTCTTCTAACTTTTAAACTGTGCATAAATTAAATAAGTATCGCACTGCTAGATTAAATATTGTAGATAAAATGTTAGTTGAAAAAGCTATACTTTTTAGAAATTGTAAATTTTTCTGAATATGAAAAAATACTGAAAAAATTATTTTCAATCGTAATGCATCTATTTTTACGAAGTTACTTTCGAATGTATAAATATGTTAAAATACTGAATATTTTTTCCCCACTTCACTGTTTTTTGTGTTTACTCTCCTTCACCCTTCCCTTTTCTTTACTTCTTTGCATAAGAAGCTTTCACGTTGAAGATTCATTTAAATCGTGAATGTCATATATTTTTTTCAGCTTTTTGAAATTAACATGTATTAGTATTTACCAGAGAGGAATTGTATTATTTGTATAGTATAAATTACTAGAGCGTGGAAATGAAAGCATGTATTGAATGTAAATTAATCTGATATATTGTACAGTATATAAATGTTAAAGCAAAAATAAAATCTATGAATTTGAATAAAACAATGAATGTATTTAAACATTCATGTAAATGTTTTTTTTCTTTCGTTTTTCTAAGAACTAGGTTCACTTTAAATACAAATATTTTCCTGTGATTGTTTTTAAAAAAATGATTAAAAAAAAGAAAACTCGTGCTTTCTGAATTCATTGAAATTCTTTGCAGAAAATACAAATTAATTATCCGGGGTATTTTTGTAAAGTAGGCAAAAATGTCAAGTGAATTGTAAATCTGGTATATTTTTCATGACAATCAGTGCACATGCTAAATAGCATAGTAATATCCCTGTAGGTCAATATCTAGTAAATGGTAGTTGCCTACATATATACAGGTTGTATTTATCAATTTTGATAAGATAATTTGTTTATTGGTGCTTTAGTAGTTAATCTGGGTCATATAAATCGTTTCGGGACCTATTTTTAATATAAACAATAGGAACAATAATGTAAAAAAAAAATTAAGAAATCATTTCTGAATGTTTTTTTCCCATATCGGGCAAAGGAAATATATCCAGATTGTCTACATTATCTCACAAAACAGTAATTAGCATTTTTTGGCCTCCTCTTTATTAAAATATTAAATTAAGGTACTTGTATGTATCCAGATAACGTTTCATATTATTTCTAATTGAATTCCATGAAAACGTGTCTTTTAGAAACGTAAAGTACGGGACAAAGAAATTTGAAAAAAAATCATGAATTTAAAATAGATCTAGCACCAAAATGTTCATCCACACGTAAAGCCATTTATTAGATCTTGACCTCAAATGTAAAAAGATATGCTTTATATCGGAACTATTAACATTTGAGTAAAGTAGGTGAAAGGGCAAGGTCAAGAATCACGAGGTCAATATCCATAACAATGTTCCAATGACATATTGCAAAGCATTAAACTTGCAAAATATCAAGTCCATATCTCTTACAGTTCTTGAGATGCAAGGTGTGACAAAGGAAAATCGAACAACCGGATAGATAGACTGACGGACGGAAAAACAGATAGACGCCGGGTAAATTGATCCCATTGTGCCACAGAAAAAACAAAAAGAAATAATATGAAATTTAAAAAAAAATTATTAAACTAGAGTGACTGTGAGCAATGAGCTCACTAAATGATAACCCCCGCCTGTAACAGACACACGGACGGACGGACATACCGATTACAATATACCCTCCCACTTTTCAAGCAAGGGATGGTAAAAAAATTATTTTTTTAATGACATATAAGCGTGTGCAAGCAAAACATGGATTACTT